CCTCCCCTCCGTTTTCTCTCTATACTTACTTTTTTTTCAGTCTCCCTGGCCCTTGGAGCAGCCACAAATTCTCTTTCCATTTTTATTATTACACGTTTGTGACACACCGTATTCCCGTTCCCTGTGGACCAGGTGTGTACACAGTACCTCTTACTCCTTTTTTCACCCCGTGTTGCCCTCCCTCAGCTCTTGATCTCCTTCCCTTTCTATCTCCCTGCTTCCTGTTGTCTTTTATTTTGCTCTTTATTTATACTTAGGCTTTCTCACGTAACGGAAGCCATGAGGTATTTAGGTGTGTGTGTGTGTGTGTTTTTTAAATGCATTTAGTACAGGATCTACAGGGTCTGCAGGGTCTCACTACGTCAGGTGCTTTACTCTGCTGTACTCTGCTGAACTATCTGGTCGGTCATGACACTCCCTTTTTCTTTCTTTTTTCTTCTGGTGGAACCCGGGATTGAACTCAGCCCTTTGCACTTGCCAGGCAAACGCTTATTGTACTGAGCCATCTCCCCGGCCCAGACACTCATTTTTCTACAGGATTCAAATTTATCTTTATGGCAGAGAAGTACTCTTTTGTATGTAAATATCACTTTTTAAAATCTCTCCATCTGTTTAGGGGAGGCACAAGCCACTTCTAAGACTTTGTTTGGACTTAGCTAAGATTTGCTGCGTGAATCACACCGCTGTAAACATGGGTCTGCATGCATCACTGTACTATGATGGTGTTCACGCTCTTGGGGAGATCCTTAGAAGGGGACTAGCCGGCTCTAACGGAATTTCTAGCTTCAGCTTTTTTGAGGAATGTCTCTCATGATCACACCAGTTCATATCCCCACTGATAATGCAGAAGCGTTTCTTTTTCCTGGTAGCCTCAGTAGCCTTTGTTATTATTTGATTTCTTGATGTTGACCATTCTTTCTGGGGTAAGAGGGAAGGAATCTCAGGGTTGTTTTAGTTTGCATTCTCTAATGGCCAGCAAAAGCATCTCTTCATATATTTATTGGACACTTGTACATCTTTTGTGGAGTGTCTGTTCATTTTGCATGCCCATTTTTGCTTTTTTTTTTTAATTCTGGAGAGTAATATTTTTAAGTTCTTTTTCTTAAAATTTTTTCTATTTATTTATTTTGGTCTTTTTGAGACAGGGTCTCGCTATGCAATTCAGGCTGGCCTTGAGCTCACTTTGTAGCCCAGATTGGTTTTGAACTTTCAGGGATCCTCCTGCTTCATCCTTGCAAGTGCTGGGATTACAGGCGTGCTCCACCATGCCTGGCCAGTTTTTGAGTTCTTCATGTATTCCAGATATGAGTCCTCTGAATGAGGAATACCTGGCCAAATTTTCCTCTAATTCTGTAGCTCATCTTTTCACTGTTGTTTCTCTTGCTGGGTGGAAGCTTTTAGTCTGACGTGGTTCCATTTGGATTTTACAAAAAGCCTTTTCTGTGTCTATTGCGATGAGCACATGATGTTTGTCTTTGGTTCTATTGATCTGATGTATTATGTGGATTGATTTGCCTGTGTGGGAACATCCTCGCATCCCTGGGATGAAGCCCACCTGGTCACGAGCGATGATATTTTTGATGATTCATTGCATTGTTTGGCATTATCTTGTTAAGGAGTTTTGTGTCTACTAAAAAGATTGGTTTAGAATTCCCTTTTTTTGGTTGGATATTTGTCTGGCTTTGGTACTGGGATAATAGTAGCTTCGAGGAATGACTTTGGAACTTTGTGAAAAAGCTCAAGCAGATTGGTGTCTGGCATGCACTAAACATCTTCACTTGGCCCTCCCCTCCCAGGTTGATGCTCCTGCCTTGGGTCCAGGTAGCTGTGGACTGGATCTCCAACACTCTGAGCCAGGTTACGTTTCTCCTCCTTTAAGTTGTGGGTGTTGAGTATTTTGTCCCATGGACAGAAGAGCTGACGAAGGCGGAAAACTGATACTAGAGAAGTGGGACACTGCTGTGGCACTACAAGACCATATGGTTTAGAAGCCTTTGGAACTGGATTGTGGGAAGAATTCAAAAGGGGGGACATGGGGGCTAGAGAAGCTTCAGAAGGCTGGAAGCAGAGCCCAGTGAGTCATTCTGGTTAGAGATCAGAGGACTAGAGTGCCCACAGGAGTGGAATTTGTTTTGAGACAGGGGTTTGTCCTGCAGGTTGTCCATGACCTCACTGTGTAGCCCAGGCTGGCCTGAAACTTGCAGGTGTCCTCCTTTCTTGGTCTCGTGAGTGCTGGGATTACTGACACGCACCACTACACCCAGCTCCTGGGATTAATTTCTCTGTGCTCAGCCATTCAGGCACTTAGTGGCTGCCACAGCCACAACTCAAGGAGACTTTGCAAAAGGCAAAAGATTTATATGATCTGGAGAGAAACCAGAGGATCAAGGGGACTTTGTTACTGCCTGTCCTGGTAGCAGACTTTGGCACTGTCCGGGTGATGCTGGTTTCATTGGTTGGCAAGAATTCAAGAGGTTGGGGATCAGAAAAGCTTCCACCCAGATTTTAAAGAAAGCTCTGAGTGGCCAGGCAAGGAATCCCTGAAAGGGCAGCCTGAAGTCATGACAGTGAAGCCAGATGTGCAGGGAAGAGCACAGCTGCAGGAAATCCTGGTGTCAGGGAGATGTGTGGCACACTGTGACACAACAGACGCCGAAACCAAAGGAAGAATTTGGAGCACTTTATTAGCTGAGCTCAGCGGCAACCTTCCCTCAGACAAGCTAAGGAGAATGTGCGCTGAATCGAAACAAAGCTCAATCTTTAAGGTGAAAAACCTCAGGGTAGGGCCGGGGAGATGGCTTAGTGGAATAAGCGCATCCCTGGCAAGCGCAAGGGCCTGAGTTCAATCCCTAGTTCCACAAAAACAAACAAATAAACAACAACAACAAAACTCCCCGCAAGGTTGGGGGAGGAAAAGGGGATTCTTTCAAGGTGGTTTAGTTCTTGCTCTCCATACTCAGGAAAGGCATCTGGTTACAGTCTAATCTATTTCTCAGGAAGCAGAGGAATATCTTTTACTTATGGTCTGGCACAGGTGTGGGTTTACAGAAAAGATCAAGGCTTTACAAAACATGGAAGTTACAAAACTTGTTATAAAATGGAGTTAAGTTAGCTAGCTGATAACAGCATGGAACATCTTCCAAGGAAAGAGAGGAGCCCAGAGAGAGGTCATGTGGGTTACAGCCAGCAAGGCCATAGGCCAGATCCCCTGGAATTCCAATCTTACTGCTGTGTACCCCAGATACCAGATACAGAACCATAGGACTTAATGTTTGCCTTGTTCATTTTGATTTTGCTTTGGTGTAATTCTCTTTCTTTTCTTTTCTTTTTTTCCCCCTCTTTGGTACTGGGGATCAAACTTGACACCTTGTGCTTGCCAAGCAGCTGTTTATGCCACTGAGTTGTATCCCTGGTGGTTCAATTCTTTTGTATTTTCTTAGTCCTTTCTTTAAAATGTGCTGGTGTACTTTGGAGTTATGTACTGTCACTTTTTTTGATTTTTTACAGAGGTTCACAGCTAAAGTTTGCCCTATCAAAAGAGATTTGGATCTTTTGATAGGTTCAAGAACTGCTGAGGCTTTGGGAAAAGGATTATTTCAGTTTTGGTTATTTAAGATAGTTGTATGATGGTAGACAGAGTTATGGCCTTGTGTTTATTTGAGGGTTAGGTATAGTTTAAGAAAATTTAGGTGTCAGATTGAGAGGAGCAGGATGGATTGGTTAAACTTGATTGTATCAACTTAATTGGCTTTGGAGCTGCCCAGGATATTGGTGGATGTGGTACACTTATGGGTCCGTGTGGCTGGGTCATGGTGTACTTGGTCCTTGGCTTTTTCCTTCCTGGAACTTCTTTTTTACTGCCTTGAAGCCAGGTGACTATGGATTAAATCCTGTGACACCATAAACCACGTTAAACCTGTCTTAGTTATTTCTCACTGGTTGCTGAGACATGGAAGGAAATGTTTATGGAGCTCACAGTCTGTGGAGGTTTCAGTCTGTCACCCGCTGGTGCGCAGGCAAAGTGGCGTGGCCCAGGGCAACCATTCAAGGCAGCAGA